TCAGGTTACTCTTCGCCCTGATAAAATGAACAGCATAGTTCATAAAACGTTGGCATAACATTAAGAATGTATCGAGGCATGAAGGAAATTCTCAAATCTGTTAGCACTTTTATTAATACTTATGTTCTAAATATGAGCAATAAAAAGCTGAACTAATTATTCTTTAAAGACGTCACTTAGGCATCCGCCATTATTGTGTCAATTTCAGATCTCCAATTCTTAAACATACCAACCGTCTATCTTGTCCTCTTTATAAAAAAAAATTTAATATTGAAATACTTATACTTATCATTTTGTTCCGATAACGTTCGTTATTCAGTTTATTTTCCATAGTTTGTAATTGATCTCTGTTTTTTAAAGGTAAGTCTTGAAAAACATCTATTTTCTCATCCTGCTCTTCTTCTAGCTGTAATGATACCGCATGAGACAGCTTGTTCAAAATCCAGTTTTGCTGTTTTGCGATATTACTTATTTTAATATCCAGATGTAGGAATTTTTGAACAACGTATCGTTCAAAATCGGATTCTATAATAATTCAAAATACAATTTTTCAAAGCTATACGAAAGATTAAAGTTAACTTTAAAACTTCAAATATTTTCAGTTGTCAAAAATAGCAACCATAAAATACAAAGTACTATAGATTATGAATTACTCGCATACTAACTTCCTTCATAATTATTACTTTTTGCCAGTCTCGGAAGGTTTTCATTCTTGTCAACCTCGGAAGACTGCCATTCAGGATTCATGGCAGTATGTTGTGAATCTAAAACTAATAAAATATGTTATCATTAATATTTCCAAATCATAAACACAAATCAAAACCCTATATAGTATCACAAAATGTTATGGCCAAAAAAAAATTATATTTGTAAGTAATATTATTTAAATTGATGTATAAGCTATTGTAAAACACGATACTTTTGTTGAAAAAAGATTCTAATTATATTTTCTATTTTCAAGATATCGAATTTTGTGAAGCGTGTTATCCCATTAAATTGTCCCTGTTTAGAGATACGTTACGTTCCTTAGACAATATTATTAGAATTTGGGCACAAAAACCTGATAAGCAATGGTTTTTATTATGGAATCAAGGTTACTATTATCCTTTTTCGACTTATTATATTTGAACTCAATCATTTAAATAAAACAATTACAACTTTATTTCTCATTCAGTTAAATTATAAGTATGTAGTATATTATTATTAAATTTAATTAATTATCATGGATAATAATAATTTGATTAT